AATAAACAATCGGTATCCCTCAACCAATGCTCAGCTTTGACAGCCCAGCTAAAAAAAATGGGCTATCGGTTTAACCCAACTCACCACATCAACGAAAGTTGACTGTACAAGAAACGAAAATTAATTATTTTATTCATGTGTTTCACTTATACATTTTTGACAAAACATTTGCCTTATACATTCCATAACACAAACCACATAGGTCCTATAAGAATGTATAAACGGTATGTGTGACCATTTTTATCGAAAATACCCTTTAGAACGGGGCGAGATCGTCACCATTTGTATATGTAATAATCGCAATTAATATATTAAAATATTTTCTGTTCTAGTTCTTTAATGTCTGCTCTGGCGCTTAAGGTTTGATATGGTTCAATTTATTCCCATACACGATCACACGAGGAACGAATAGAATCCGTCCAAAAACCATTCCTTTTATACGCGCTTCGCAAATTAAATTGGGTTCTTCAAGGGTATTGAGGTAAATGCATATTCGTAATCTACATTAAAAATGGAACCCAAACACAAAATTTCATCAATTTTGGTACACTGGAACTATTTTAAATAAGTACGATTACATTTACAAAAAATCACCTTATTAGCGCCCCTCGGTGTCACTTTGTATGGGAGCGAGCTGTCAGTTTGTTAGTTTAGCGTCAAACAGTGAAGTTATTATTTTGCTTTAAATCTTGATTTAAAAATCGAGATGAAAGCGTGTGGGTTCCGAAAACGAAGCTCTTACAGATGATGCATAAAAAACGATACATTTTTCAAAATTAAAGAATCCAATTGGACCACATTTCCTCTTCCATCATATGAAGCACGCTTCATGATCATCAACTTACAAACACTCAAAGAACGCCGTGAATTTGCAATGCTTTTCTTCACCAACTTTCACATCGGATAGAATCATTATAATTACTCTCACAATTAAACTTGTACACACCCAGTCGGCTTCTTAGAGCTCGGAAATTATCATCAGAAAACGTACACAGAACAAATTACGCATGAAATGGCCTAATCAATCGAACGATGCGACAGTATAATCTACACAGCGAAGTCATTAGCATCAGTATGTCAAAAGATCAAATTAAAAACCGACTAAAACATAATAATAGAAAAAATACGTAGCGTGTAAGTAAAACATTGTGACCATAAAAATGTAGTCTACTTTTGCTTGACGAAATAAATTAAAAAGTAACTTTCTCCGCAGCGTATTCACATTTTTTTTAAATGTTTAATTTCGGAAACGCACTTATAAGATTCGAACTATATCGGAAGCATAGTTCTACTCACTGATTTGTTTTACACTCAACTTGCTTGTTATCATGCTGGTAAGTTATAATACTAAAAAAATTCTAGTCATTTTCATCATGGCAAATTCTATAACAGAGGGAGTATGCATATAGTATATGAATATAGTAATGAATAAGTTACTCAGTTACTAACAACTCTCTACAATGCGATATTGATAGTCCCTTCTGCTACAAAAACATTGCGGTTATCCATCAAACCATCAAATCAATGAAAACCAAAAACCAATGTTTAGTATGATTCAACTTGGCAAATATCAAGTTGTAGAGAGACTGTCACTCTCCACAACTCGATGTATTTATGTCAAAGATTAGTTATATAGTTATGTTAACATGTAACTAGATTTAACCTGAATTTTGTTCACGCATAGGTACGTATTTTTTAATGCATCGAGACATAAAAAAGTGTAATGACAATTAGTCTACCCTATGAAAAATAAATTAGGTACAGTCTTTCTGCTCCTATCTTAGTGTCTTAGCATCAGTGCATTTTTCTATATTATATAGGTACACGTTCTCGGTAAATATGATAGCATATAGTTCAACCCCTATCTGAACGATTGCCACAATTAAACGCACCCACCCAATATAGGGACTCGTGCATTGAAGTCTCTTGCATTATTAGTACTGATAACAATGAACCTCCTATGGGACCGCACTCGAGGAGCACTGGGAAACATGCGCGATACAGCAGAAACGATAGTATAGGGTACCGAGCTGTGGATGGATATAAAAAAATAAAGCAAATGTTCAAGGTTCCCCACTTGTGATTTACGAGAACTTTAACGCGAAAATCCACATTTGTTCGCATTGCCCAACTGATAAACGGCGACGGCGGATTTCGCTGACGTCGAAGATTAGGTGTACACTTTTTTCGGACAGAAATTTCGCACTCGGGCGTGAACCCAGCAAAATTACGCAAGATCTATTTTTAAACTAGCGCTCTTAATTAATCAATTGATTCTGGTGTGCGGACATTGGAGGCGGATGTGAGTGCGATTTTCACTGCTGCTACTGAAGGGCCAGACCATTCCTTCTGGAGCACAACACTCCCATGATTCATTACGATCACCGGGAGGGTTTCTAGTGTTAGGCCTGTGCAGTCATCAATAGTGCTTCGTGGCATTTAGTCGCTTCTACTAGCATTCAAGATAGCAAGGGGAGGTCAGTGCGAAAAACGAAAATATGGATCACAAAATCACACAAGCAAGGATTTTTCTTTTTTTCACCAGACATGCAGGAATTTCTTTTCTTTGCGGTAATAAACGAAAACACAACGGGTTCATGCAACGAAAAATACAAACATTTAATCGAAATATTAGAAGTACTTACAGCGATAGGTTATTTTCTGCCGGAGAATTAAAATCACGGGAAATTCGATAGAAAGACTCTCAGAAAATAGGGCAGGAACTTCTATACAATAGCAATCACCCAGTCGTTCGAAGATTTTCACAGTCGTTTTGCTGATACTTCCACAACCAGCGGTTGACAGTTCTTGATTGTTTACTGTTTTGCGCATGCGTCTCGACGGAGAAGTGTAGCCAGTTATTTCTCTGGGAAGCAATACACTCAAAGCAAACTCAACCTGTTTTAAAATGGTGCATTGCAATTATTTTCAACGGATATTCGAACATTTTGCAGTAATGGAAGTTTATTTTCCTAATAAATGGACCAAAAACTTGATAAGTATAACAATATTATCCCAAGGTAAGAATCGTTATCGTTTTGTGACTATTTTTCCCCGAGGCTTTTCTTAAATCTTCAACCCGTATTGTAATTGATTTCAATGACGTAAAACTGGCATCATCTGCAGACTAGTTTCGCAAGCTCACTGGGCATACATCCATGATAGCCTTTACACTGGTGTAAATGATCAATGTGTTTTCAATGCAATGTTTTATTTTGTATTAATTACCAATCAATTTAGATAATAAATACGCTCACTGTCGAAACATAAGGGCATAACTGTGATGATTGATTATGTTTCGTTTATTTGACGTTTTTTTTATTAATTTTATCCAAAAATCTTCTAGTAGATCACAACTAAACCTAATTTTGAATCTCAATGATCTTTTTTACTGCTACGGTTACGGTTTTACCCAAAGCTATAAGTAAAAAAAAAAATAAACCGGCTTATGGAGGTTAAACAAATGAAAAAAAACGAGCAAACAATATATTATATTAACGTAACTCAATGGGTTCTTTAAGGGTATTGAGGTAAATGCATATTCGTAATCTGCATTAAAAATGGCACCCAAACTCAAAATGTCATCAATTTTGGTACACTGGAACTATTTTATATAAGTACGATTACATTAGCAAAAATCACCTTATTAGCGCCCCTGGGAGCGAGCCGTCAGTTTGTCAGTTTAGTGTCAAACAGTGAAGTTATTATTTTGCTTTAAATCTTGATTTAAAAATCGAGATAAAAGTGTGTGGGTTCGCTGTGCTTAGAAAACGAAGCTCTTTCAGATGATATATAAAAACTGATATATTTTTCAAAATTAAAGATCCCAATTACCTTCAGTAGGAAACGAAACATACCTGATATAACAATAACTTTAGGAAAACAGAACGCAGACAAGTGTGATAGGGTCAGGGATCTAGGTATTCACCCCTATTCTGTATTTCGTTTCGAACGAAATTCTCATACAAAAAAATATTTTTTTTGTATGAGGATTTCGTTCGAAACGAAATACAGAAAAGGGGTGATTATCTTAGACTCAAAGCTTACTTTCACCGATTATTACACAATTATTAACAGAGCTAACAACATGATTGGTTTCATAAAATGTTTCTGCTACAATTTTTACGATCCGTATACAATAAAAACATTGTACATTGCTTATCTAAGGTCGATATTAGAATATTGTAGCACAGTTTGGTCTCCTTTTTCAACCTCACACGAAGAAAGAATAGAGTCCGTTTAAAATCAGTTTCAATTGTATGCACTACGCAAGTTAGATTAGACTGTATTTCCTCTGCCATCTTATACAGTTCGATGTATGCTCATAAATATGTTCTTCTTCTTCTTCTTCTTCTTCTTCTTCTTCTTCGCATTTCCAGCTTATTGCATATCGCATATTAGCTTATTGCGTGCGCTCAACTTAGTGTTCTATAGATGCACTTCCACAGTTATTAATTGAGAGCTTTCGATGCCTGTACCATTTTTGCATTGGTATAATTGTGTGGAAAGTTCAATCATACTTCTATGCCCAGGGAAGTCGAGAAATTTTCCAACTCGAAAAATTCCTAGACCGGACCGGGAATTGAACCCAGCCACCTCCAGCATGGTCTTGCTTTGTAGCTGCGCCTTTACCGACTGAGCTAAGGGAGGCCACACAATTATACCAATGCTAAAATGGTACAGGCATCGAAAGCTCTTAATTAATAACTGTGGAAGTGCATCTCGAACACTAAGTTGAGAGCACGCAATAAGCTAATATGCGATATGCAATAAGCTTGAAATGAGAAGAAGAAGAAGAAGAAGATGTGTAATGTAATGGGAAAGAGTGGACACAGGGTGGGGAGTTAGACAAATAAAAAAAATGCACCATTTCAGATTTATACTTTAAATTATACAAAAATTTGCAGAAATAGCATTATAACATAATATAACATCCTATAGAGCTAAAATTATCCTAACATAGTTAGCATGCCTTTTTAATGAATAGTCATTCAACACTCTTGGGTCTTTCGTGACTTGTCCGGGGATGAGATTTGAACTCGTGACTCTTTGGCATGAGAGGTATGGATGTTTACCCCAACACCGGGACCGTCTCAATTACGAAAGTTCTCAATGGTAAAGGAACTTATTTATCGTCTTTCTCTCGTTCAGTTTTCGATACCTAAGTAAATCGGGGAACAAAATATTGGCCGTTGGTTGCAACATTTGCAGAAAACTAACTACCGAATTTCAAATTGCGTACACTTTAACGTAATCAACCTGTAACGTGCTATTACTATTCCACGATGGATACCAACTTCCGCGTGCACTCCAAAACATGTGCATTGCCTTCACAGAAAGGTCCTTCCAAGGTTTTTCTTGGAACAGATGGAAGTCGTAGTGACCGCCAACACCAACTCCCAAGTTGATGTAGAATTCCTTATCGAAAGGTGCCATCCGGTTTCCGCTCAGCCTCCACAGATTCGCAATTTGCGGTTTAGTGGCTTTAATCTCACTATAGAATCCTTCATCCGGATCGATGTGACAGTAAATTTCGTCATCCACTTCCATGTAGATTCCATCCGGACTCCACGTGAGACCGAACACATGGAAATCGTCATTCCAGTTGCCGGGTCTCGTAAGAGTACACATCTTCGAACAGCGCAGAGGCTCCGCGTGATTCAAAATCAACCCTCCGGAGAGCTGATTCCGCAGTTTTGGCCCACCGGGAACGTAAGCAACGCGCATCAAACCTGAGGCATACTCGTCTCGACCGTAGAATTCATTGCTCGGTTTAAGATATAATTCTACAAAAAGTTAGGACTTATTCTTCGATTAAAGATATTAACTAATATGAACTTACGTGGAAAAATCCAATCACCTCTGGGAAGTTTAGCACGAATTAAAATTTTCCCATACAGGAACTTGAACGAATTGAAGGTTGATATTTGCGCAGAAAGTACCGGTGGAATCATGTCGAAATCGATCTTCCGATCTCTAATGCAATCCCGTGAATTTAACAATCCCGTGCATTCGGAGGCGAACATGAATTTTGTATTGGTTGACCCCGGACCAAATTTGCTCTCGAACAACGAAGGTCGTATGTGGAGTTTGCCATTACGAAGCTGAATATTTTCCTTAAAATCAGCATAGACCATAAACTCGTTATCGGGATCCGAAGCAAATCGGTTCTCGATTCTCCACTGTTGTGCATTCAATTCCTTGGCATCGAACGTTTCTTCGAAGATCAGTTTTCCACTGCACACTTTTCTTCCATTTACATACGTTTGGGCCCTATCACACTCTTTGTATCCCAGATCTTCAGCGCTAGTTTGCGTTGCAATCGTTCGAGTGCGTATCAACGGAGGCGAAGCGAGCTCTTTGGACTCATAATCGAACGGTCCCAAAGGAATGTACGTATCCTGGTCGACTCCCTTGGTTCTCCGTTCGTTATTCTTATACACAAATGGAGGCAATGTGCTTGTAGTAGTAGTAGTTTTCCGACCAGTACCCCCACCTCCATCACTTCCTGGAGTATTACCGCTATACTTGGTGATCTCATACGATCCATAGTTCCCACGGTACGTCACACTGTTGTGCGTAATCCCCGTTTTGTAGTAGATCACATCCCCGGGTTTCAGTTCCGCTTTGCGATCAACGAACGTAAACCGACCATTCCTTGGTTGAGAAATGGTTTTCGACCATCGGCCAACTTCGTACTCATCTTCAAAACGTTTGTTTAACTTTGCGTAGAATGCGAATTGGGTGATGCCGACATCGGAAGGAATCCACGCGATCAGACCCTTCGGATTGTATACTTCGAAACGTGGCTTCGGCGGACGGTAGCGCGTGTTCCGCCGCGGTGTGCAATCGGTTGGAAGCACCACGGAAAGCGTGATTATAAAGACGAAACTCAAATGAACTCGAGCGTACATTTTGACTGCATGAGCGGTTCGATCGATACTGAGATCGAGGATGAGTAAGTTTACGTAGGATCGTATTTTCCTTTCCCTGGGATCAAACCTGAGCATGACTTTTGATTTATTTCAGATAATTAGTAACGATCAGCGAAGGCAGTCATACCTGGTGTGACTGGATGCACGCAACGGTGTCTAAGATGATCTACGCGCTGAGCGCGTAGCTAAAACGTGGGAAAATTGCTAAGACAATTGCAGGTGATACATAACTGTGGCTATAGGGCATCAATTAGAATTTTGTTTTCTTACTATTATTCGTGTTATATTTAAATAAAATCACTGGTTTGTTTTCAATTCAGCTAACAAGTTGTCACTTTTGTTCGAGGTTTACCTTCTCGTCTAATGGGATTACTTGTTCCTATTGCATACGTTTCAAGCTAATAATGATTACTTCGATGTTATGTGTTGTACTACATACCGCAATTAGATTGATTGATTGATGATAATGGTTTATCACTTCCAAGAAATTTGCTTTTTAGATAAGTTGGAAACTAAAAAGCTTGAATTTAATAAAGAGGCGACATGTCCAAATCGAATTCCCTTGAAATTATACTCAAAACATTATTTCAAAATTCTACAACGCATGGGTTACGAAGTTTACAGACTTCTCCTAAATATTTTTTTCCTTGATTTGTTTTCCGTCAATCTTGTTTTCCATGCTGGGCACCAATGCTACCGACGCCAGGGAGGCAGCTCCCACACCTGGACCCTACCTATCGACCCATCAACTCATGAACCGGGGACCAACGGTTTTACTTCCCTTCCGAAGGAGGGCGTGATCAGAGATGTTATGCCTCAGAACATCCCGGCGGCGCCGACTAGGATTGAACCCAACCCTGCTGGGCTGAGAAGTAATCACGCTTACCACTACACCACCGGCGCCGCTGACTCCTATAATTATAAATAAATCAATGGGAATACCGATAATAATTTAATGGGAATCGAATTATGAAGATGATTCCAAACAAAATCTCTGCAGAATGTCAACCTAATGAAGCTTAAGAGAGATTCTTAAAAAACAAGATCCAGGGATTTTAACTATAACAATCCTTTCTATCGCCACCACTTGCAAGGAGGTGGTGACCAGGACAGTTCTCTGTCATTCTAAGAGGCAATTTGTGCAACTTGGTTAACGCGAATACGATTGCGGATGTTAGGGAGAATGAATCAAGGAAACAGCGACACCGGTGATGTAGTGGCAAGCGTGACTGCCTCTAGTGAGTGCCAAAGGGCCTGGATTCAATCCCAATCGGCGCCGTCGGGATTTTCTGAGCCATAAAATCTCTGATCACGCCTTGCTTCGGAAGGGAAGTAAAACCATTGGTCCTCGGTCCATGAGTTGATGGGGCGATGTCGAGGGCCAGGTGTGTGTGCTGTCTCATTGGCGACGGTAGCATTGGTACTCAGTACGGGAAACAAGATCGACGGAAAACAAATAAAGAATAACAAACCAGGAATACTCATAAGAATACTCAAGGGAATCCTGATAGTAACTATGAAGTTATATTAGGATGATGGGGTAACCTTTCTAATGATATAAAAACATTAGAAAGCGGATAAATAGAATTCGAGATACATTATTTAGCAAAAAGTGCAGACTTCATTTGCAGTTTGGGACCCAAGTCTTGTTATACTTTATAACCCAACGGCTTCGGCTTTATTAACTAGGCTAATGGAGGCCAGCAAAAATATTAGGACCTAAATAAATGACTTTGGTACTTAACTATTTGACTAACAAAAAGCTTTTGTAGGTAGTTCTTTCTAAAGTGACAACATTGCTTATTTTGTGTTGGAATTTAATGAAAAACTTTCAAATAGTAATTAATGCTTACCATAATATACCGCAGCATTTTGGTACACTATTCCTGTTCAGTAGTATCGTCCTGAAAATGCCCAAATTACATGATTACGTATATAGCACAACTATAATCAACAATCGCACAAACCTTCACTTCACCAACAACCGTTGTCTTCGACTCCGTATCAGCAGCAACAACTGTTTTCATCTCCGCATCAGCATCCGGTTTCACCTCTGCTTCCACAACAACCTCTTCGGATTCGTCCTTCTCGGGATCCCGCTCGAATAGCAGCACAAGCTCAACGTGCGGTGTATGAGGAAACAAATCAACCGAAATTGCCTTCTTGACTACAAACGGCACACCCCGCATCACCTTCGAACAAGGCCGCATCAAGTCGACCCAATTCTTTACCGCACTCTGAGGCGAGCAGGATACATAAATCAACCGGTTCAAACCCCGAGCGTTGCGCAGTTGAGTGATCGAACGGACATCTGCAATGAAGATATTTTGTAATGAAAATTGAACATTTTAAAATATTCAAACTTACGCAATCCAGCCCTCGGAGGATCCACAATGGCCACCAGATTCTCCCCTGTTTGGATGTTGGCATTCCTAATCAACGACGTGATCAAATCATCAGCATTCCCAGCGAAGAATTTACAATTATCGATCTTGTTCAGTTCAGCATTGTACTTGGCATCTTCGATCGCTTGCTGAACTATTTCAACACCCAACACCTGCTTGCAGTGTTTGGCAAAGCACAGCCCAATCGTTCCGGTTCCACAACAGATGTCCAAAATACTCGTCTGTTGGGTCGATTCAGCGAGATCGATTGCGCACTGGTACAGCACCTCGGCGCTAGGAGTGTTAATTTGAAAGAATGCCAGAGGACTAATACGGAATTTTAACCCGTGAATAACGTCCACAATGTGCGTTTCTCCATGAAGATGCTCAACCGGATTTACACTTTGTCCTGCCTTCCGTTTTTCTATCTTTTCCAGATAGACTGAACTGATGCCAATTTCTTTGGCCTTGTCGGCTGTGAACCATTCCACAACAGATGCCTTGAATGCTTTCAATTCTACCTCACTTAGCGACTGCGGATGAATCCCAATAACAACCATAACTTCTCCCGTACTGCTGGAAGTTCGTACGGTCAACTGCCGAAAGTGGCCCTTGTACGTTTCCGGGCTGTACACTTCATACGTGGATTTTCGAACGAACTCTTCATAGAACTTTACAGCATTTTTCATCTTATCCGAAACATTTTTCAAATTCTGAGGCGACTCAACGTCCAGGAATCCATTCGAATAGCTCCCAACACGGAAACCAACTCGAATTTCACCATGCTCATCCTTCCCAACGGAAAATTCGCACTTGTTACGATACCCATCGACTTGTGGCGATTTTCGAATGCCTTCCAGTTTACACGGTAGCCCATCGTGCAGCTTCCTTTGGGCTTCTACGTGTGACCTCAAACCGGGACAATTTTTCCAGATTTCTTTTCCGAGTGTTATGAGCACGTTTCGCATTTCTGACTGCTTCTGAACCAACTGATCTTCATAGCTGAGGTAAGCCAATGCCGTGACCGATTCCTCAAGAGACTTTCGCTTTTTTATCGAGACTACCCCATCCGCACCGGATGCTTCGTTCCTCCGCTTTACCAGGGGATCCGGTGCGGGTTTTGCTTCGAACGCCTGCAGCTTTTTGTTCTTCCACGTGTATCCATCAAGGGTTTTTATTGCAGCTTGTCGACCTTCTTCATCCCGGAAACACACGAACAGAAACGGACAACCTGGCCGCATAATTTTGATCTTGTTCGTCGAGAGGGATAGTTCCGTGTTTAGTAGTTTTTTGAGTTCCTATTTAAAAAATAAAAATTTCATCGTCACCGTCATTGCATACTGCTTAATGATACTTACAGCAATTCCATAATATTTCGGCAGATTTCTTATTTCAATCTTGAAACGTTCCGACGTGAATCCCGTTGAGTCGAGATAGGCATACTCATTTTCCTTAGCTTTTACTGGCGCTGCCGGTATCTCCGGTTTTGCCGGCGCATCAGACTTCGTCTCCGTTTCATCGGGTTTAGATTCGGGTACCGAATCACGAACAACAGGTTCAGCTTCCATTATGTATTACTGGAATTAACGAGCAAAAACTGTATAAAAGTTCAATTTTTCGGACCGGCAGCGTATTTCACACGTGTGTTTTGTAAACAAATTGATGACAGCACAAGGACGTATTTTATTTTTTGCCGATCGATGCTCCCGGTAATGAAATTTTTACAGTACAATATCTGAAAATTTTTTTTTTTTTTTTTTTTCCTTTGGTTTGTTTTTTCCGTCGATCTTGTTTTCCGTGCTGAGCACCAATGCTACCGACGTGCCAGGAAGGCAGCTCCCACACCTGGACCCTACCTATCGACCCATCAACTCATGAACCGGGGACCAACGGCTTTACTTCCCATCCGAAGGAAGGCGTGATCAGAGATGTTATGCCTCAGAACATCCCGGTGGCGCCGACTGGGATTGAACCCAGGCCTGCTGGGGTGAGAGGTAATCACGCTTACCACTACACCACCGGCGCCGTTAATATCTGAAAAATATCTAACTCTCACTCAAAGATAAATTAAATCAAAAAAGCTTAAAAAGTATGCAGTTTCCCGCTTCACCTTATTGAGTCCGAGCCATGATTACTTCGGCAGTAGTCATGCATGATTAAAATCGAAATAATCTTTCCAGTATTAAATTTTATTCTTTTTCAGTACTGATATATAATCAAAAAAGATTAAAATTCAATCAAAAATTTTCAAAATAGAATCAAAAATGATTAAAAAATATTCAAAAAAAGATAATCTACAATCTAATCAACCATGATTAAACTGGGATTAATATAAGATGCCTATTTTTTAGAAAAAGAGGATTAATTTTTAATCATTCGATATGATTAAACTGAGTTTAATGTCAAATTGATTAAATTTCAAGCAAAATGGGAACACAGAGAAAAAAAATACCCTAAATTTAAGTTCTTTTTACTTAATTTTGGGTAATTTTGAGTTTTGCATCCCACTCTCACTTTTTGTTGTTGTCAAAAACGGAGAGAGATTCGACTTTCTCATGACTATAGTTCAATAAGCTACTAGTGAGCATATGAGATATTCTCAAATTTGAGTCAATTGAACTTAATTTTGGGTAGAAAATACATACACGGATACGAATTTTGTTCATTTAAAACAAAAATATAAATGTTTATACTCTAAACATATGAATTATTCAAAGTAAATTGAAAGCATATTTAAAACTAAAATATTTATGTTTGAATTAAGGTGATTCCCCGTGGCGTCCTTTTTCGTGTTACACTTCGCAATTTCACATATAAAAATAATAAGGTTTCTGTGAATGCACGTACACAGCAAAAAAAAAGTAATATCGATCAACGTAATTCAAGCTGATGTATGAAATAATGATGTAATAGCAAAAAACAGATACAATATTACATCAATGGATGTAATTTTGTTCGCAAAATCGATGTACATCGTACAATGTGATATTACACAACAGATGGATTGACCTGGTTGCAGCAGTTTGGATGTAATATTCAACAACTTTTTTTGCTGTGTAGCTGAAACTACTACTTGTTCTATGCTGCGGAGAAGCAAGCAATGTCTGAAATTTGCAGGTGTATAAACCTTGTAGATCTTGAGTTGTGTGCTCTTGAAATTGCGAGGTGTGATGGAAAAATGGACTCTACAAGGAAACACCTTAAATTCAAAAGCATGTTTATTTCAACAATATAGGATTTGGGTAAACGGTTTTTAGCGTGTCATGCCTTTTTATTTCCTTCTTGTTACACAGAAACAAAATCCATTGGCAAAAATACTATATTGATGGTTTAAATTAAATACTCCCACAAACAAATTTTTGCAGAAACGAAATTCATTTAATTTAACTATTTTTCCTATCAAAACTACTATGCCGTTTGAGTAAGCATAGTAGTTTTGACGGAATGGTAGTAAATTTGATAATATTTATGGTCAACTATACTGAAATCATGGTAGATTTAAAGGTATTAAGCGTAGTTATACCATAGAGGTAACTCTAAGACCACTGGGTCCCGAAGAAAATCATTATTATTTTTGGCTCACTCAGTACCAGAACAACGGTCCCAAGCAGTCCCAAGCTATTTCACTCACCCCTGCATGTTCTGCATGAATCCACACACCCCTGATGTTATCTGTCAAACTTTCATAGCGAATCAAAACAAACATAGTGTAGTAATAGAATTTCAACTAGAATAGGGTACGTTAATCGTTTGCTTGGGACCAATAGGCTACTAAAGTGGTGAGCCAATTTAAAATCGTTAGTTTCGTATTGATTGTTGGTTATACTGAAAATAAGTATTTTCTGCAAAATAGTATTCCTAACTATAATCTTTGTTTCAGTGTACATTCAGAAAAAAGTTGGCCCAGTTTTTGCTCTACCTCAACAGAAAACGATTCCATTCCGGATCCTCCTCCGACACCGAACATAGAAAGAAACCGGTATGAGGACCAGTGGCAGGAATCGAGGCAGAAAAGGCAAAACGACGCCAATAACACAAATTTGCACCAGTTCCACTGAACTGGAATCCCCGGACACCCACCCCGACGGGTCCTCGCATCCTGGACCAGGACCCCACCAATTCCCACAGGTCACCCTTAATCTCACCCAAAAAAAGAGCAGGAATTTAGATGCCCTGCCCGAAGATCTTATTTTAATATTTCTTTGCAAACCGTTTTATTTTGCTTTACCCTGCACTCAAATACTAAAATAATTTCAAAATATATATGTTTATTTTAAACATGAGAAGCATGTTTAAAATAAACATATTTATTATTGTTCGCATAGCTGTCAAACCAAACAAAAACAAATACGTTTATTTTCAACACGAATATTTTTGAAATAAACGTAACATTATTTTTAGTTTAAACATTGATTTCACATGACTTCAAACATGGAATACGTTTGAAATCAACCCAATTTATGTTTGTGGTCAGAACAAACTGAGTTTACGTTTGAATTTACCTCAAATATTTTTGTTTCGACGATAGTTTTTTCTGCGTGTACTATTCATTTAACTCATAAATTTCACGTGTGCTTCTGGGAGGATTCGGTTTATGTGTGGTCACAAAAAAATCATGTGGAATTTCACAGGGAAATTTATCAAAAAAAAAATGTGCGGAATTTTTTCAGTGTACGTTGTTTATGGATCGTCTCCTAGAGCTCTCCTTTTTATTTTAAATCACTTATTAGATGCTACATGCATAAATTAGGATCACCGATTCCACGACAAGTTTGTTTCCCCGGAGATTCCATATGTCTTTAGCTAGAAATATATTCCAACTTCCACTGCAAATTTATGTTCTGTTGAACCAGAAGTTTCTAGTAGCCCAAAAGGTTCATCTTTTTTTCCAACAGAAGTTTATATCGACTTCTTCCCGAAGCTACTTTGACTTCATACGAAAGCTTCTTCCAACACCCCTCAGAAGGCTCATCAAACTTAATTTGGAACATTCTTTTGGCTTCTCCTAACAAAAAATTACCATAAACGAGCGATAAGCCTAATAATAGAACTATTCCATAAATGAATTCTGGTGAATGTGGGCGTCTTAATGGAATACCTGTATAATGAGAGAGAGGATTAGTATTTTCCATTTAATTCCACTACTTTATTTGCTTATCCTTGACAGATACGCGTATTTCGTCTACAATGTGTAGATTTCTTCAGTGTCTTGTACTAATACTCGACTTGCTTGGTTTGGATGATACTCCGATCACGTCAAAATAACCATAATCAATTTATTAGGGTCTCCCTCTGGGAGTGTCTACTGACTTGCCGGGATTTGTTTTTCCTATTTCCTTCTGTATTACTTGCGCCCCAGTATAGAAATTAAAGGCGTAGTCCTACGTCAAAATCATGTGTAACCACACATACTTTTCATTTGACATATAAATTTTATGTGTACTTCTGGAGTTATTCCGTTTATGTGTTGGCATGCTCGTTGGCAAGGCACTTGAAAATCACATGTCACATGGAAATTCGTCAATAAAAATGTGTGGAACTTGGTGTGGAATGTTTTGCGTGAGCATGATCTGAAACAATGTCTCTTGCATGGTGGGTATATAAACACAGCAAAAAAAAAATTAATATCGATCAACGTAATTCAAGCTGATGTATGAAATAATGATGTGATAGCAAAAAGCAGATACAATATTACATCAATGGATGTAATTTTGTACGCAAAATCTATGTACATCGTACAATGTGATATTACACAACCGATGGATTGACCTGGTTGCAGCAGTTTCGATGTAATATTCAACAACTTTTTTTGCTGTGAATGGTGATACAGCTTCGTCATTATATAGGCGTGGAGGTCGCGGGGGGGGGGGGGGGGGGGAGTGCGGTTTTAGAGCAACTTGTAAACAAACTCGGTCGCTGTCCCATACAAAATTCCAACATGGCTGAATCATGAATTTTACACATTAGAACACCTATAAGTAGTCACCTTGGTCTCTGGCATCCCGATGACTACACGGTGCTGCGCAAAAACCCATTAATGGGTATAAAAACACCCATTTCCACTAAAAGTGCCCCTCATTTAATGGGTAAACTATGGTTTACTCATTAATGGGTAAATGGGTGGTCTGTCAATAATTGGGTGTTTTTTGCCCATTTTCTTAAATTGTGTTTGCCGTAAAATGGGTGAAATAATACCAATTTTTTCAAAAGGAGAATTCCAGCACTTGGTTATTTGTCCTCGTTGATATAAAAAACTCTTATAATACATTGAAAATAAATGAAGGTGTTCCGATTAAATTTACACGAAATATTATGATACAATATGGTGGATAAAATAATATTTACTCATCCGTAAGCCTCTCCAACGTTCCGGATTCTAACCTTTTCCGGAGATCACCCATTTTCGCTAAAAAGCTGCGGACAGTAACTGTTTGCATACCCAATGAATCGGTGACAGAAATGAGACGATAAAATTTCAAAGTGGGTAAAAAATATAGCCATTATTCAACCGTGAACTGATTCTTTAAATGGGTATTTTTTCACCCATTTTATAATTTTTAAATTCCCCCATATTTTGACAGCTACATACTAGAGTCGGTGTATAATGAGTCACGCCAAGAGTGAAGCCAAGTCTACCTATTGAACTGTCAAACCGGCTACCTATCGTGCAAAGTAAACAAGCATTACGATGCTATGAAAGGTCCACGAAAGGTATTGCAATTAAATATTAAATATAACCGAAGAAATGATCACATACACGCAGTGAGCATTACATTTGTCATGCGATACGTTTTGTAATGATCAGTAATGACAATTTCTACTATTTTTCCTTAAGATAATTCCACAAAATCACTGATATAATGATATACTACAGCCGTTATTTTTTTTCCTCGCTAGAAGTCATTTGAAGTTGATGCAGAAGTCCTCTGTTGCCAAGTTAAAATAAAGGGAATCTTTCGAAACCCGGGATGCGAGTTCAACTGTTTTTCTCTTGGCGTGACTCATTACCCGCATAAACGCGAACCATAAGTTGACCTTATCTAAAATGGTTAAAAATTGTTTATAATCCCTGCTAAACTTTAACTGAAATGGTTATGGAACTTTACATGAACGTTTAATGATAAAGTTTCAACCTTATGTATTATGGTTTTTTGGAACTGGACCTTACAAATAATGGGTTGTTAAGAACCATTACCATTCCAAATTCTTGTTTTCTCCATACATTTTCAGAAAGAGAACTATATAAGAACGTTTTTACTTATGATTTGAGAACATTAATGGTAATGGTTATGGTAGTAAGTAAGGTCCATCAATGGTTTTGTATTATCGCTCAACTTTACGTGGAATATATCGTGAATTGGTAATCAGTAAATTACAGGCAACCAATTCGCGATATATTCCACATAAAGTTGATCGATGTTACAAAACCATTCGTGGACCTTACTGACTACCATAACCATTACCATTAAAGTTCTCAAACCATAAGTTAAAAGGTTCTAATATAGTTCTCTTTCCGAAAATGTATGGAGGAAACAAGAATTTGGAACGGTAATGGTTCTTAACAACCCATTATTTGTAAGGTCCAGTTCCAAAAAACCATAATACATAAGGTTGAAACTTTATCATTAAACGTTCATGTAAAGTTCCATAACCATTTCAGATAAAGTTTAGCAGGGATTATAAACAATTTTTAACCATTTCAGGTAAGGTCAATTTATGGTTCGCGTTTATGCGGGTATACACCGACTCTACTACATACATGGTTTGAAAATGAGTATTTTTTTTACCCATTAATGGGTTTTCAGGAAACACCGTGATATATTTTTCATATTATTGAAAACATTGTTTTAGATCATTTACAAATGCCAGCTGACAAACTAGTTCTAATGGATTCAGTGCCGGGTATACATTTCATGAACAGATTGGAAAGCGAAACACCATTCAATGTAAATTTTACTTGCAGGTTGGGCAACTAAATCATTCGAGTATAATCAGAATGGATATTTTTTGAGAAGTGATCTCCTCTATCGTTATTTGGCTGTTAACCAAATTTTGTTAAGCTGTTTCTTTCGTTTACAAAAATTAGCCATTTTTCAAATGACCTTTCGTTTAGGTTTACATTGGCGTAGAATTCTAAATTATTAAATCAATATCGACATTCTAATCGACAAAACATCTTTTAGGGATATACTTGTTAGTGGTAAAGCGACTCCAGTTTCCTGTGACGTTTCGAATATTTCGGCCAATCGCGACAGCACACGAACGTAAACTTGCCACGTCCAGCTTTTCCCAGCACCGTCATCAACTTCGTTGCTCGTGAGCCGAGCCCACCGCAGTAGTCGTCTGAGCGTTGATGTAAGTAGTCGTGGTTATTGTTAAGATTGTTCAGTTTGTTAAGTGGAATTATTATTCAGAAGTTGGCAAAGTTAGAGTATAGCAGTTTCTTTTTTTCTTGTGAACATATTCTCTGCTTCCGTTAACCGGTGCAATTGCTTGTAGTGTTAAAAATATAAAAGCTAAAAGCCTACTTCCGGCCCATTGCAGTTCATTGGCAAACGCGTACCGGCAACGATTGTGTGCTGTCTGCTGCTGACGACCGTGCATTGAATCAGAAAATTTTCTTCTTTCTCTCCCTCCGGTACATCATCCTATCTACTTGGGAATATTGCAGTACAGGACAAAGCAACGGGTAGGCTAAGGAAATAGACAACAATATGCGAGTTCTCAAGTCGTTAAGTTTGGTGCTTTTCGTCGCCGGATTGGCCCTGGTGGCTTCCGACGTAGAAGTCAAGGAGGAGGATGGCGTGCTGGTGCTGACGAAGGATAACTTCCAGAAGGTGGTCGAGGAAAACGAATTCGTGCTGGTTGAGTTCTGTGAGTATCCTACATACCAACTGCTATCGATTTGCTTGGGCTATTCTCCATCTTGGAAAATTTCACTGCTGGAATCCTCATTTCTGTCTGGTCTGGATACCAGGACAGTACATATATAGAATGATAATAATTGAGTCTAATGTAGGCGAATCGAGACACTGTATCAGGTAGTATTTGGTGTACAGTGCAATGTGTTCATTTGTGGAGCTATGGCGTGTGCAAGAGGTGAAAAACGCCAACACATCTCCAAAATACCAACCCGAACGGCTCCTTTCCGCGCAACTGAGTTCGTCTGTTTGTCTTATCTAAAAATGAGGTTTCTTTTTAGTTTTTCTGTACCTCAATCGTATCCAGGTTTTTTTTTTATTATTATGAACCAGTATTATCTTCTTGTATACGTGGACTGTTCCGTTCTTCCATTCCTATACACGTAGTCGTTCTGTCGGCTTGTACAATAGATGATGTAGCTTTCTTGCTTCTGGATTAGGTTTTCGCACACATCTAGAGGCGGAGAAAAATGTGCACTCGATCTTCGCTTGTGGTTGGATTACTCCATGCATCTCTAGATAGTCGATCATAATTATTATAGTTAGCGTCACTATCGCGTTGGTGGGCCTGGGCACGCAGGAACAACAATATGAACATACACAGTGGATATAATGTACAAAGCGGGATAGTTGTTTTACGCTTTTTTTGCTCCATTCTGGAGCGCAAAGTCTTCTGTATTGGTACGTCAGTACGCACTAACACGCCTATATCGGTACAGGCTAAATCATCCACTCGCAATGGCATCATCGCGGTTCGTGATTTGGTGGTAGTGCTGCACAGTACTGCCTCGTCGCCAATGTAGTAGATGGGATAGTGTTACCAGGCAAATCGAAATAAGGCATACCATCCAGGGAGAAAGGAGAATGTCATCACGACACAGCGAGACCGTTTTGCGACGACGACCACGATGATGACGAGCCAAATCTGGCATAAGAGTGCTGCAGAAAGAGCGAGCATTGGGAGGTTGGTGTTGTTGGAAAAAGATGAAATTCAACCGGTTTACAAGATCCGCTATTTCTATATAGCATTACGTGGTCGGTCTCGAAATGAATGTGTGCCTGCGCGGATCCAGCGCGGAACGACGCGTTGGCGAAGGCATTAGTCATAAAACTGAGGCAAGCTTTGGTCTTTGAGTGAATACAAAAAAAAATACCATGCCGTTTTCAAGAAAGTGGAGCATGGTTCGGAAAGTTTTATATGACTCTTGAAATGGGATCGATTGAGCGCGATAATCGAATCCTAATTTGGCACTGATTTAATTAGATAGAAGTGGCAGTTTGGCCAGTAGTCTTATTTTAGTTGACAGTGCAACTTAGAATTGGACTAGATAACATAATTTCTCCACGTCTTTACTGTGGTGCATATTGAAATTCCAAACAGGATATTTGAATTCGAGACTATACCATGCACAGAAGGTTTTCACAATAATAATGCAAGTTTGAACTGACTCGTTTTTTTGGCCAAGGTAGTAAGGTGGGGCAAGCTGGATCTTCTTGGTTTACTATTTTTTTTTTGGATTGTCAACATCAACAGGCTTATCCCCAATGCTGATTTTTAAAAAGCAAATCATTATTGAGGTTGCATTGAACCTATTGAGTTTAACATACAAATTAAATAACAAATGTACTAGCTGACCGATCTTGTCCCACCTTGCCCTACTAATTTTAGTTGAAGTTCTCAATTCTGTCCCACCTTGCCCTACTAATTTTAGTTGAAGTTCAGAGTCTGATAGTATCTTCAGATTAGCATGAATAAGCTTGAAGATTATCACTCCCTGATTTCACTACTGATATAGATTCTACTGCATCTTGCAACAATAGCGAGCGTGAGAAATTCGTTCGCACTGGTTTCAGATCGTGTTTGTATCAAATTCTGTTAAATTATTACATTTGCAATATACCTTCGTTTTTTACTCCCTAAACTATTGTAGTTCAAATGTGTATATTAAAACACAGGTCAGTAGTTCATTATATTTCTTTTAGTCTTTCCAGACACGCAAAATAAAGAAAGAAAATACTAAGACCACACTCACTAAAAAATATATCAATCTCGTATCAAAACTTATTGTTTGCTAATAAGTATTAAAGTTAAAGATCCCTGTTTTTTTTCAGAAACTGTCAAACGTTAAGGTGGGACTTTCGTTTGACGAGCTAGTTGAATGAAGTTTCTTATTGACAAAATACCCTGTTTTAAGCAATCAACAATCACCTAGAACCTAATTTCATTAGAATAAGTTTTTATTCTTGTGTATATTCCGTCGTTCTGTTCCGCAAGCAAGTGCCATTCACCGACGCCATATCGAAACACATGGGCCGGGACCAAAGGCTTTTACTGCCCTTCAGACACGACCAGAGATTTTCAGGAACAGTTTTAGAACAGAAGATGTCTGTCTCGTGCCATGAATTTCATTTATTTGATAATATAACGTTCGAGTGAGTATTTGCGCCAACTTTTACGAGCACTTGCGCGCTGTAAAAAATACAACATGTCAAAAAGTCCTGATTCCCGGAGTCCTCTCACAAACATTGATCTATATGATGAAGGTATCAAATTCCTTGAAATAATTTCTTAAGCTCCACGTTGAGCATTTTCCAAGATCAGAATGACCCACACGTTCTCGAAGGTTAATGAACATTAACGACCGTTCTATCTACTTGCCAACCGGCAGACGACGGTTCATGATTACGTGTTATTTTCACACACACAAATCACATACGTGTACCTCCTGAAACACCTTTCAACTCTCCACGAAGCAATTTCTTATCACCAACAGGTTCAATTTTGTTCGTTGTCAGGTTACAAAACGACATGGACATTCAGAATCGTGGTCGGTTATCAGTAGCAATAGCAATTACCAGCGGTTTCATATCAAGATCGCGAGAAAACTATGACGGCAACGAAAATAACAAATCAGATAACGCACATTTCTTGAAGCGCATACACCACATTCCACGTCGATGTGACAACCGGACGTTAGAGAGAACATGAACTTACAAAGTTATCAATCAAAGTTAAGTTCCCTTTGCTAACTGCAGCAAGTCGCTGAAGTTATACAAAACCGGATTCTCTTGGGGAATCTCCAAATTGCGACGCGGCCGGCCGGTGCTTTTTTTTCGACCGATCGCACCAATACGCAATCGAATTTGTTTGATCATTTCTTTTCCGCTTGCCGGTCGGAGTAATAATGAACAATAATAACACTTAAGTCATCATCGCACCAACACACGGCCACGTGTTGCAAAGACTGAAAAAGAGAATGGATGCTAAGGTTATACAATTTACATATTCGGTCAATCACCCCGTGTTCACAGTTTCATGTTCTAAGCTGTATGCACCTGATTTCCACGTTAACCCTCCGATTGGAATGTGGTTTTTCACGACGCATCGATCCGGTCAGCTGATTTTCATGGAACATTATGTTCCCTCCCCTCATTCTTCTTAAATCTAATAACCATAATTCTGCTGCGCTGACGAAAGCAGGCAGGATGAGTGTCGAGTGAGCTTTCATCAAACATATCAAGACGGCATAGCCGAAGCGAAAATACAGTTATCTTTCTCCCCTTCTTGCGGTGATTATTGCTCGTTGTGTTCTTCCTTTCATCTTTCTTTGGTCTGTTGGAAAACTTGTTCCAATGGCATTAATAGTGTGGTGTACTGTACACTTTCTTCCACACACACATACCACCTTCCAACTTGGACAAGCCTTCCAACGTGGAACGGTACCTAGAAAGACAAGACGCCTGACTTGATGATGTAATTCAATCGAATCGAAAAAGCATGTTGTGCGCCTATCTATATCTGCCGTCTATCGTAGCTCCGTTTGTGGAAGCAAAACTGGACAACTGAGCAGAGCAACAAGTAAAGTAAACCATCTCTCAACCAGAGGAAATCCACATGCGCTATGGTTTCGCATATGGAATCTGTCCATTTCTCGATGGGGAGAAATTTCAGAAGGTAGCTAGGTACCTACATCTGGAAAATAGTTCACAACTTTCGCACAGCATGGCAGCAACCCCTGGGGTGTGGCGAGTTAAGTGCTCTTCCAACTGTCGATGTCGACTAACAAACAACGTGGTCTTTTGGAAATCACTTCGGTTGGCACTTCTAGCGCACATAATTACTTCAAATCTTCCACCACTAGATGCACAGGCCTGTTGACAAACACTTAACATCAGCATCAGATAATTACGTGAGAAAGAATGGTAAAACGTCGTTATATAATCGTTTTTAGCTAGCATTACCGGATAACGATGAACCGGCCTGTTCGCCGTGCTTTGCATAACATAACCTTAATTGATGTCTGAGTTGTTATCTTTGCTAAAATTATTGGAAATTCATGGAACAAGTTGGGCGGAATATCAAAGAACAGTTTGAAGGACTTGAGATTTGCGGGGAAATTTTAAGGGATATTCTGAAGAAAGAAAACGTAGAAAAATATAACAATCTATCAAGCATTCATATGAACTGGAGCTAATATGGAAAGGTTGTCTGGATTCCCGAATCATGAGAAAAAACAACAGATTTTGCCAAATAAAAATTGGCCTGGTCGTTCCGACAAACGTGCTAAACCTGCGAAATGCATTGTGCAATTGATCCCCTAACGATACGATGGAAGAGCTGCTGTCAAAACATGTCAAGAAACCCATGCAGCTCGTCATGTCACAGCATGTTCCTTGCATTGCTTGACTGCAAGGATTTTGTTCTTCCGAAGGATCAACAGGCAAAAACTGTGTAATTTAATATTTTGCCTACCCACGTCACCATTTGAGAAAAAGAAAACCCCCTTTCAATTCCGCTTCAATGCCATTTTGGCTCAAAACAGAACAAAAATTAAAGCATGGAAACGTGTAGGCACAGACTGATGACCATGCATTGACGCTGCTGACGAGAGAGTTTCTTTTCCTCCGTTGCGTCACAACAGGGTATGTAATAATAATGATAATGATACCTCACATCAAAGGACAGAAATAGATTCCACTCCAAGTCATTCATTAGATATGCATAAACCAGCAATTCCGAATCATGACGAATAATTTTACTCCCACTTGTTTCATTCGCAGATGCTCCATGGTGTGGACACTGCAAAGCACTCGCTCCCGAGTACGCCAAGGCCGCCAAGGCTCTGGCCGAGAAGAATTCCCCCATCAAGCTCGGTATGGTTGATGCCACCGAGGAGCAGGAACTGGCTGAGAAGCACGGAGTCCGTGGCTACCCGACGCTGAAATTCTTCCGCAGTGCCACTCCCATCGAGTACACCGGAGGCCGCGAAAAGGACACCATCGTCTCCTGGTTGGAGAAGAAGACTGGCCCAGCCGCCAAGGAACTGGAAACTGTTGCCGAAGCCGAAGAATTCCTCAAGGAACACAACGTTGCTGTGGTCGGTTTCTTCAAGGACCGTGAATCGGCTGAATGCAAGGCTTTCTTATCCACTGCCAACGCCGTCGATGACTATCCATTCGCCGTCACTTCCAGCGAGGATGTGTACGCTAAATACGAAGCCAAGTGCGGATCGATTGTCCTGTTCAAGCATTTCGATGACGGAAAGGCTGTCTTCGAAGGTGAATTCACCGAAGAGGCTCTGAAGAAATTCGTTGCTGCCCAGGCTCTGCCACTGATTGTTGACTTCAGCCACGAAACCGCCCAGAAGATCTTCGGAGGAGAAATCAAGAACCATCTGCTGTTCTTCATCTCGAAGGAAGCTGGACACATGGAGAAATACATTGAAGCCGCCAAGGAAGTTGCCAAGAAATACCGCGAGAAAATCCTGTTCGTGACCATTGATGCTGATCAGGAAGATCACCAACGTATCCTGGAATTCTTCGGAATGAAGAAGGAAGAGGTCCCATCGATGCGCATCATCCATTTGGAAGAAGATATGGCCAAGTACAAGCCAGAAACCAACGACTTGGCTGCCGATAAGGTTGAGGCATTCGTTTCCAAGTTCTTCGAAGGTAAGATCAAGCAGCACCTGTTGTCTCAGGAAGTACCAGAGGATTGGGACAAGAACCCCGTCAAGGTTTTGGTTGCCGATAAGTTCGATGAAGTTGTTATGGACTCCACCAAGGATGTTCTGGTCGAATTCTACGCTCCATGGTGCGGACACTGCAAACAGCTGGTCCCCATCTACGACAAGCTGGGTGAAAAATTCGCCGATGACGAGTCGATTGTGATCGCCAAGATGGATGCTACTGCCAACGAGCTGGAGCACACCAAGATCAACTCGTTCCCAACGATCTATCTCTTCCGAAAGGGAGACAACCAGAAGGTCGAGTACCGAGGAGAGCGCACTCTGGAAGGATTCGTCAACTTCCTGGAGGGCAAGACCGAGGTAAGTGTACTACCAAAATAAACGCATTATAAATCATATTAAGCTAATTTTTACTTTTCACCCTAGGAACCCGAGGTGGAGGAAACCGAAGAGGAACAGAAGCCAGAAAAGGATGAACTGTAAATTGGCAGGAGTGTTTATACAAAGAGCTAAGAGCCAAACCACATGAAACAAACTACCAGCGACATCGGAAATCAATTATGTGGTTAACAGAATACATCATTTAGTAAGAAACACAAACACTTACCAAAACAAATACACTCTCACACATACAATACAAACAAAAACAAAACAACAACAAAACGCGCAGATAACAGACAAACGCAAGCAAAACAGAGAACGTAAATTTCCACCACCCTTAAACCGGTATTGACAGTGTTGTAAAATAGTCGCGATAGAGTCCCTTTTTCCTCTCCCAGATAGGCAAAGGCGATAGAAGAAAAGTAGAAGTTTATCTTTCCATGAGACTGTTTTTATTTAATAGTTTTGTGCTGTCAGGAGGGAGACCGAAAAAAAAAAAACTGTAAAAGAGAAAGTATATGATAAATTTGGATTGATGTGAAGCGTCGAAGAAAGAGGATGGAGTTGAAGTTAAGGTAACAGAATGCATTTTTCAAATGTTATATTAACATTAAACAAAATAAAAATATGAAAAGAAAACAAAACCGGAAGGTAGTATGATTTTTTTTACTGTAACTAACAGAAGGCTTCCATTGCGCCCACTGCATCGTTTGTTGATCGATCAAGTAAGGCGAAGTGCACATGCTGTCCTGCTACTTCGAAGTGCCCTCAAAATGATCATTCCGTCTAGGGTTTCAGCACAAAAGCAGTTTATTTTCAATTCTACTAACATCCCTCCATCATGGGAAACACATTGATAAGAAGCAGCACGGCCAATGAGAGTAACTCAGTAATTCAAAATTTTCCTAGATTTTCTAGAAAATCGAGAGATATTTCATTCAGTCTATTAGTATACTCTTAGTCTGAACAAAAATTTCGTCGATTTTTTCTCATTTTGAAGCAGTTTTTCCTGGAAAAGCAAGGAAAATTTAACTCATTTTTGCAATTTTGACACTTTTGATGAGTTACTCTCATTGGCCGTGAGGAACAGGGTTTTCTCCAAAGTTGTTGATTGATAGGATTTCCTCTTTTCGGAACTAGTTTTTGAAACTATCAGGAACTTAACTTAAAACAGCAAGACAAACGGGAACGATAATAAAGTGATAGAAAAATTCGACACTAAGCTGCCTGTAATTGTATTCAATGTTCCGAAATGTCATTTAGTCTACGCCTAAAACGCAACTTATCGGGCATCTCTTCGTCATTTCTACACGCATTTTCTGAAATTGCACAATTGTTGAACAGACGGCTGAAAGTCTCTCTAATAGAGAAAAAACGGAAAATTGTCCAAAAGAAGCAGTTTCCATTATTCCTTCGGTGGAAGGTTGCCGCCTCCCTTAGCTCAGTTGGTGGCTGGGCTCGATTCTCGGTTTGGTCTAAGGATTTTTCGGGTAGGAAAATTTCTTGATTTCCCTGGGCATGATTGTACTTGCCACACAATTGTACTAATATGAAAATGGTACAGGCATCGAAAGCTCTCAATTATAATAACTGTGCAAGTGCATCTTGAACACTAAGTTAAGAGCACGCAATAATGTCTGTTTTCTTCCTTTATTTAGGAGATTTTTAGCCGTAGGCTAGTTCATCTCCGTAAAGCACGCAATAAGCTTGCAATGCGAAAAAGAAGAAGAAGAAGAAAGAAGGTTTCCGTCATTCGTGTCCTTATATTGGCGAAAGACTTCCACTTTCAAACAAAACTGTTAACAGAAGGCGATCACATTTGAAAACGGGAACATGGTCTGGTAAAATGGACAATTCTAGATAGAGCTGGAATTAGGGCCTAACAGCTTTTGTAAACAATGACTTCTCTTGATGATTTCTAGAAATTCAAGGCTCGTCCACGCAACATCCTCATCGGGTAGGGAAAGACTTCCCCTATCCGATGGTTAAGTTGGTCTGCGTGGACGTGCCTTGAATTCCTAGAAATCATCAATAGTAGTCATTGTTTACAAAAGCTGTTACGCCCTAATTCCAGCGCTATCTAGAATTGGCATAATCGTGAGTTAATTTACAATCTATGATTATTCCTTCTATGAATTGCTGATTTTTCTTTCACAAAATCCAAAATGGTACTTTACTTTAAGCGGGAGAATAGTTCATTAGGGTTGGTTAAGTTTGTTGGAGTTGTGATTTGCACTCCCTCACGTCATCACTCCCCAGGTCTGTATTGGGGTCATAAAAACTGTGCCAAATTTGAACAAATTTGGTTGCGATCTGGAGTTGCGGGAAAATTTTAATGTTTGTATGGGAAACGAATAGAAACTATTCGATTTGCTTGACAACAAAATAATCAAAGAGTTAGTTCAAATAATCATTAAACCCTGCATTAAACTTGATTTCTTTAAAGTTTTACAGAAGTTTTCAGAATTCACAAAAATCATTGGTTCATCATCGATGATCACCTAGCATATACATACATTGAGGCGTTTCCCAGGCTACCCTAATAAAAAAAAATAACCATAAACGAACGATAATCCAAATGATAGAAGTATTTCACAAATAATTATGAACAAATTATTGGGGTTGTTCTGGGTATCCTTCATGCTTCGAAGATTACCAATTCTCCGTTCATTTTTGTATGCCGTCCTTATATTTATTTCTCCTACGTACATTATGCTATTCATTCTTTCTTAGGCTTATATTGCTTCATATATACACGATAACGCTATGTCAGAAATGAAAAGCAAGAATTATGTAATCTTCTTTCCTTTTTGTTATGAAAAACTGCCTTTGCGCTCGAGCCGGTAGAAGAAAACGACCAAATTGTTGATAAGCTGCTTTAAAAAGTAACGCCGAAAATGATACACGTGTGTTAATGGGAATTTTTTGGTTATGTCTATTCTCGATTCCGATCAAGCTATATCCTCAACCGTGTATATTGCAACAAAGCAGGCAAGCAATATATCAATACGGTATACCTCGATATAACGTAGCTGTCACTTTTGACTTACATCGCAGACTTCTAGCTAACAATTATTAAATCAAACAAAGTCATGACACCATCGAATAATTGGTCATGCCAATTTATAAGACTGAATTGTTATTTGTGAGATATCGACGATGGAAGTCAAAAGTGACAGTTAAACGCTGTGCAGACTGGAGAGTTATAACATGTTATAACGGTTGTCAAATAATTGCAACACAGAAACCACCATCAAGATAGCGCTATAACATGTCATAACTCTGTAGTCTGAACGTACTATTACCAACAATCAATACGAAACTACCGATTTTAAATTGGCTCACCACTTTAGTAGCCTATTGGTCCCAAGCAAACGATTAACGTACCCTATTCTAGTTGAAATTCTATTACTACACTATGTTTGTTTTGATTCGCTATGAAAGTTTGACAGATAACATCAGGGGTGTGTGGATTCATGCAGAACATGCAGGGGTGAGTGAAATAGCTTGGGACTGCTTGGGACCGTTGTTCTGGTACTGAGTGAGCCAAAAATAATAATGATTTTCTTTGGGACCCAGTGGTCTTAGAGTTACCTCTATGGTATACCTGTATATCCTTCTACAACTCCGATCTAAAGCCCTACAGTAAAAGTATGGACGTCTGCCAAAAGTTGTTCCAATTGGATCGTAAAATAGCACCGCTTTGCTCGATTGGAACAGCTTTTTTTTCAGTTTTGTGGTGCCAGTCGTCCATACTTTAACTAGAGGGCTTTACCAACAATCAATACGAAACTAACGATTTTAAATTGGCTCACCACTTTAGTAGCCTATTGGTCCCAAGCAAACGATTAACGTACCCTATTCTAGTTGAAATTCTATTACTACACTATGTTTGTTTTGATTCGCTATGAAAGTTTGACAGATAACATCAGGGGTGTGTGGATTCATGCAGAACATGCAGGGGTGAGTGAAATAGCTTGGGACTGCTTGGGACCATTGTTCTGGTACTGAGTGAGCCAAAAATAATAATGATTTTCTTCGGGACCCAGTGGTCTTAGAGTTACCTCTATGGCTTTACTCCGATCAAGCTATATTACAAAGAGAGTTTATCGTGGTAGTAGTAGTAAGCGTTTTGTCTTTACCGTTGGTTGCTTTATGTGTTTGGATTCGCTGAGCATGATAATGTGGCTTCCAAACACACATGATTTAGAATTCATCACCCCGGGCAAGATGAGGTGATGAGAACCCCTCATCAACAGCCTCGTCGACCTGGCCCCTGATCTTGACGGTAAGGAAACCTACTCCAACCATCACCATCAAGAAGCAACTCTCCTTCAGGCACATTCCACACCGAGTCCATCAAGAGCAAATTATTCCATCTACTAATCGCGAGTGCATCCAACGACAGCAAAACAAAATTACGAGCAAAATCATGCCTGCATTTTAGGTAGAGCCATTCCTCTTGCCTCAATCATCATTGAAAATATAAATAAATTAATATAAATTGAATGAAATATTACTAAAGTTCATTTTATTAAAGCATAAAGCATTTGAATTGAAAAGAATTTATATTCGAAATATAAACATACGTAATTGCGATAAAATTCCACATCTTTCGAATTAAAACATTTCATGAGTCAATTTAAAAAATATACGTTTTGGATTGACAGTGCTACAATTCGATTTGAAAGTTTCAACCTTTAATAGTAGAGACCGAGCTACTTTTGCATTAACAGTTGGCTGACTTTTGACTTTTGATTGCTAAAGACTTTCTACCAAAAAGAACCAACGCAAACTTTTGACTCTACCAATGGTTTTCAATATTTTATTTTTTACGTGAATTTCGGGCAATTTTTGCTAAACCTTCGTTTATTTCAGTTGTTTGAAGATGTTCAGGTTTTATGACTTCCGCACGTTGAGCACGTTTCTTCGGGACCTACTAGCATAGAGGTAACTCTAATACCAGAAGGTCCCGAAGAAACGATCTCAACTTTTTGGCTTAGCTCTGGTACTCTCTTCGATCCCAAGCTAATCGATGCACCCCTCGAAACATAGGAAAATCCACGAACCCTCATTTTATCTATCAAACTTTCATAGCGAATCAAAATAAACATAATGTAGTACTAGAATTTTGACTAGAATGGGGTACCTTAATCGATTTGCTTGGGATCAATAGGCTAATGAAGTAGTGCCCAACTAACAATTTTCACAACGTAAACGCTTTACTCATTTCATTTATACAGCCTCAAGCTGTATTTAAACGTTATACGATATGAAGAAACCTTTACTCAACCTCTATACAAGCAAATCTGGCGAACTTACTCAGCTACTTATGGCTGTTGGAACGGTTGGGAGAAGCTCTTATTGCATACCCATTAACGCTTCTATACAGCTGTTATCATGCTGTTTAGTTGTGTGTGAACTTGAAGGGCGCTTATTCAACCTTTTCCCGGTTTATCCAATAATCACTACACAGCTTTCTCTTGAAGCCGGATTAAATACTGTTTACGCTTTTTTATGAAGGAATTTATTGAGTTTATTTTGCTGTGAATCAAATTAATCGAAATTAGTTAAAATCATCACCAAATTATTTACCCTGCACCGGAGGAACCTGTAATCGAACTCGAGACGACCTCATTGGCAAACCTTGACACTACCAACTGTGCTACGCCAACACTTTGAACTTGTGTAAACAAATCAACATTCCCTTCTACAACAAATTCACTGAGTAGAGGCTTTATAATAGTGCACATGAATCACTTTTCTCGACTAGTTATAAAATAGCAGAGTAAAAGCTGTAAAACTGCACACGTCTAAAAATAAACCTAGTTGACTGTGAAAATGCTTCCGACGTTGCTCTAACACAGTTTATAAGCTGAGTACAGGTTGTTTAGTTGTTGAAAAAGCACTTTTGATGTTTATGTTATTCAGCAAGAGTGGTTGGTTGTGTAGAAGCCATCAAATGAGTAATATATTCACTTTGTTAGCTTTGTTTTGCATCTACAAGTTGAAAGTTGATTAGTGTGTGTATAAAAGTGACATTAGCGTTCATTGGCTGATGTTATTCAGTGCGACTGACAAATCGAATAATGGTTGTGAGAAAGTTGAGTAAACGCTCTTCAAAACTATTTTGCTAGCTTTTGCTTGTAGCTGTATCTGCAGCTTCTTTTCAGCTACTTTACAGTACAACGCTGGAAAAATTGGCTTACAAAGCTGAAAATGTTAGTTGGGTGAGCCAATTTTTAATCGTTAGTTTCCACCAGGGATGAAAAATCATTTACATTCATTTCGTGCGTTCATTTACATTCATTTGCCTCTAACTTTTTTTCATCAACAAAATTCCGTAAAATATTGATGCAAGCTTTTGTAGGCTTTTTATGCTACCTACATTTTTCGTAAACAACTCAAATCTGTATCTCTTATGCATGATGAATCAGAGCGATTAGAACCCACCATTGTTTTTCAGTGAATGTAAATTGCATTAACTGATAAACAATAACATGTTCTGCCAGCTCTATTTTATCATGCATAATGATTCATATTTTAGATATTAATAAAAGTTGCAGTTAATATCAAAAGCTACAAAAGCTTCATACATCATTTAACGGTATTCTGTTGATGAAAAAAGTTAGACGCAAATGAATGTTAATCCATCCACCAGTTGTTAATACACTCCACATTTTTCATTCTCCATTTTCTTGCATTAGACCGCATCCTCCGTTCATGTGTTCTCCACTAACATCGTGCGATGATGAAACCCTCATAATTGTAACTTAATTGAACTTAATTGTAAGCAAACCCTAATAAACGGGTACCATACACTAACGATATCATAGATGGTACGACCACAGACAAACCGACATAACACTCGCAAGTTGTTCATCGAACAAGCATTTAACGGATAATTTAAAAGGATCGTAGTTGGTAGTACCACAGACAAACAGACGTAATTCTTCATTGTGTATCTTCGTTCACGCATTTAACGGTTGATTTGAATATTATCAGTTCCGCGAACTACTCTCCGCAGCGCTGGCATCGGATTACTTTGACGTTTCTATACATTCTATAAAACTTTTATGCAATATTGTTTGCGAGTTAGCGAGCAATCTTGTTTTCCGCGAGAAGCCAGAGAGATGTCGTTACTGAGGTCCTATGTTTTGAGATACTATGTTTTCAAGAAAAACTTTTTCAAAGTGTTACGTCTGTTTGTCTGTGGTAGTACCGTCATGTGGCGCGCATAGTCAATTCCCTACCGCCATCTGTTCAGCATAGTGCCCACCACAGTGTACTCAACAGATGGGGGTAATGTTTTAACGACGATGTTTTACAGTGAAAAATATTCAATGTGGTATGTCTGTTTGTCTGTGGTACAACCATACCTCAAAAAGTTGGGATGATATCTAGAAATGGTGGTTGGGCGCTTCTTATGATTACTGTTTATGCGGTTGGGTGTAATAGGGTTGATGCATATATTATGTCACGCTCTAGGGGGAGGGAGGGGGTCCAAGATTTTGTGACAAGCAATGCATTAGGTATAGGAAAAACGTCACGATAGGGGGGTAAATTTCTCCTCGATTTAGCGTGACATAATTAATGCATGGGCCCATACAGGCAAAGCTGTCATGACCAGGGTTTTATGGATGGGTGGGTATTAACTCATTTTATCTAGTGATCCCTTCGACTGCATCGCATTTGGTTTTATGCTTAATTGAAATGTATTTCCCACAACCAGGAAAATTATCAAAATTCAGGAAAAAAACGGGAAAAATATGCGAAATTGCAAATTGGGATTCATTGGTCAACATGTCTAAGAGATGTCTTAAATCTAATCGACGCAGTGTAGTACAGATGACACTGATGGTGGTAATCTCCAACACGAAACTAACGATTTTAAATTGGCTCACTACATGACTAGCCTATTGGTCCCAAGCAAACAATTAACGTACCCCATTCTAGTCGGGTTCGTCGATTTTTCTTAGTTTCACGTTTATTCGGGACCTTCTAGTCTTAGAGCTACCTCTATGGTATTATCAACCGGTGGACACTAACGATTTTAAATTGACTCACACTGGACTAGCCTATCGGTCCCAAGTACATCGAAGAACGTATCGTATGCGACGAAAAATGTGAAAAGGCGAATAAAAGTGCGATTTTACGTTAAATCGTTTTGGTGTCTTGGTTCATAAGGAATAAGTGCGTAGAAGACACCAAGGCAATACAACGTAAAAGCACAGACAAACAGACATAACACTCGCAAGTTGTTCATCGAACAAGCATTTAACGGTGGCGCGAATAGTCAATTCCCTTGCGTTTGACGTTTACACACTTCCGCCATCTGTTCAGCGTACTACCGATTACAGTATACTCAACAGATGGCGGAAGTGTTTTAACGACGATATTTTATTTTGAAAAATATCAATGAGTTATGTCTGTTTGTCTGTGGTAAAAGCGTTTTTTTATAAGCAATTCCGCACTTTTGATGAGTCCATTTCGAAATGCAAAATACAATATTGAAGTTGGGAAAGTTTTAAAAAAAGCGACCTGTATTTTTAAAAGTATTTTGAAACACTGACTTAAAAATATTTTTTAATGATCATGGAAAAAGATTCAATTGGTATAATCACAGACAAACAGACATAACACTGGCAAGGTATTTGCCGAACAAGCATTTAACCATAGAGGTAACTCTAAGACTAGAAGGTCCCGAAGAAACGTGCTCAACTTTTTGGCTCAGCTCTGGTACTATCTTCGGTCCCCAGCTAATCGATTCACCCTCGAAACATAGGAAAATCCTAGGGGCATCCCACTCTAAACTTTGTATTTCTAACGATGTACTTATAAATTTCTAGCTGATATCGTAGATACCTATAAATACTTAAAAATACTTAAGAAATACCTAGTACTAGATTGCTTTCCTGGTTGCTAGACAAATTACTGATGTTTGTTTACTCAATGTCAGGGATTTTATGTGTCAGGTTGGATTTTGTGCATTGCGAGCGTTAAAGTATTTAGTGAATAAATCATAAAAAAGAAGAGATTTACAACTTCAGAGGAAAGGTCAATTATGAGTTTCCGTTTATGAGAATGTGTCTTTCTTCTGACATAAGAGAAAATTAAAAAAAAAATCTGCTTTCCAGCTGCACCGATTCTCAACCTGAAGTACCCGTCTCTCTTATTTAAGTAGCTATATTTGAGATAGTATTTGAGCAAACACACGTTTCTGAACAAGTTTCATTATGATATTCACTCCTATTTCCTATTTGGATCGAAATAGATTTGTCATAAGTATTTTTATTGAAAATTTGTTTCGATCAAAATAAGGGTAGATAGGTAATACATAAATCCCAAGTAACAATTTCGGTTTTATAGGGGTTATCTAGACCATGATTTAGACTTGTAGCATGCTTTAAAACCTCCATAAAATTTTCAATGTTACTTGGGATAGATAGAAATAGATAAGTGACTTATTTGAATCCATTGATCAAATTCAGTATTAGGCAAACATGTGAAAGATGACATTGAGCCAAATGTATACCAAAGTCATGGTTTATTTAATATATATATTTATGTATTTTATTTGTCAAAGCTCATTTGCATAAGCTTAATGCCGTTTCCGAATTGTCTCTTTCATCGTCCTCATGTCTTCTTCCAATTGTGATATAGATTCAGACTTCAAGAGAGCTATGGTTAGGCTACCTGAAAATGATCGCACGTCCAGCAGCTTTTTCATCTTTACAGGAAATTCACCAAAGCTCCGTTGAATGATGTCTGCAAATGAAATATTTAATATAAAACAAGTAGTAGCAGTAGTCAATTAAATTATATTCAAATCCTCAAAATACCTTTTTTATCCAATCAGTATGAATCAGTAACTCTTCAGTAGACATTTTGCAAAATTCACGCGTAATGTTTGACATCGACATGAAAAACAATTGCACTAGAAACCGATGTTATAGCCAAGACTTACTATGATCAAAATAACGTCAAGATAAAAATATTTGAAAATACTTAAAAATATTTAAGAGAGATTTAACAATACTTAATGAGTATTGGAGCTAAAGTTTAGAGTGGGATGCCCCTAGGGAAAATCCAATAACCCCTCATTTTATCTGTCAAACTTTCATAGTTAATCAAAACAAACATTGTGTAGTACTAGAATTTTGCTTGGGACCAATAGGCTAGTCAAGTAATGAGCCAATTTAAAATCGTTAGTTTCGTATTGATTGTTGATTTAACGGTCAATTTAAGAGTATCGTAATTGGAAGTACCGCCACCTGTGGCGCGCATAGTCAATTCCCTTGCATTTGACGTTTACACACTACCGCCATCTATTCAGCGTACTACCTACCACAGTGTACTCAACAGATGGCGGTAATGTTTTAGCTACGATGTTTTACAGTGAGAAATATTCAATGTGTTATGTCTGTTTGTCTGTGGTATAATTATGAACACGATTAATGCAAGAAGGATTCAGTCATGGCTTGTCATTATGCAGGAAGGTATGAAGAATTAGAAGAAAAAAAAACTCTAAAAAACGATGAACCTCCCATTCTAACTATTTCGACAAATCCTGCAACACTGCCAAGAGCAACACCATACGAGAGCGAAATTCGCTCATTTCTCTCACAGCATAAAAATGTCCTCTTTTCGTGATGCAACATAACGTATATAATGATGACGATGACATGTTGTCGTTGCTCTTGAACTAAATTGTTTCAAAAGTTTTAGACTCAGAAGTGTGTGTCGGTGTTAAACTTTGTTACGAAATTATACATCAAAAGCATATAGAAAAGGGGTTGACTTTTATGAATTTAATCATGTTGAAAATATACATACTTTTAGAAATTTACGTATCACACACAATTCACAAAGCAAAATATGAAGCAAGAGACCATATGGGGAACGCCTTCTCTCTTTCTCCCTCAACTCTCCTTCTCCCACATCCGCCAGAAGAGAGCATGCTACGATTGTCGAATCACTGATGGACATTCAGTTTCATTCCAGTCGCGTCGCATCAGCGTCGTCCGTCAGTCCAGTGGATTGATTGCAAGAGTAAACATTGCGTGTATCGTCGTCGGTCGTTAAAAACATTTTCCCTTCAAGCGTCCGGTTGTTTTTGCTCTAAATGGTGAAACTGAATCAATCAGCGAACTGCGCTACTGCTACCAATTGCTAAATCATTGAAACGCTCAGTATCGCCCCTCAATCCGTCGCATCGAATTAGCATCTTCTCGTATGCAAAGTGTGAAAATTAGCGATAATCGTATTCCTCAGCACCCATATTGTTGATACCTACCTACCTCGCTGTCGTCTAAATCGCGTATAGTCGGTCGTCGGGAGTGCCATCATTATTTTGTACAAGAGTACAAGTCAGTTGCATGTATAAGTGAGCGTAGGGAGGAGGTGGAAAATTTTCGCCTAGCTCTACCTGGAAGTCCACCGTTGCATCCCCGTGAAGCTGTGTAGAACGGATCTTCCACAGTTGCAGCATCAATATGGATCGAGAAGCGGAAGCATCAGCAGTGCGTTTTTCGTTAGCTAATCATTATTGAAGTTAACATTGGTGAATTGATGTGAAAACTCTATTTATGCCCAGAAAGTCTAATCTGCTGTGGTGATTTCTAGATGGGATTTAGCTAGTGCTGGTGAACATAGTGGTGGATTTGCATCCTGCTTCCAAAAGCGAAGAGAAAGTGCAAAATTTGCAATTCATCTCGGTGTAAATATACCTACCTTCGTACACACAAAATAGTGAAAGCAAAAAGGAAAAATTGGTGCATGGGATTATAAGAAAAGAAAAATAGCACTGGAGAATCCAGAAAAGTTGGTGGCGTTTTTCTTCTCTATTGATTTTTCCTTCTGTATAGCTATGCTTGTTATGATATGTTTTTCGCTGACAGCATGTTATTGTTTTGAAACATGACTACCTTCTCTCTCTTTTTCTATCCTTCATGCGTCTTCCATTCCGTGCATGACCTTGTGCTTCTCCTCTTTTAGCAGTGCTGCGATTGATTGGAAAGTGTACCTACCTATTATTGTACTGAAGCAAGCAGCACGAAAGTAGTTCCGGATTGCATAAACTTCCCCCCTGAACGAATGAAGTAAAGCACGACACTAATTATTTCTCAACCGTCTAACATAAGGAAAGGTCGAATCTGATTGATGGGAAATCAATTGGCCCCATGCTTTGGAAAATAATGGACGGTTTATACGAATCATATGCGTAGATATTGTTATTGGCGACACAAATACGTATTGCGTCATACTGTTTTTAGTAAAACGCAAATTTACTGCATGAATGTATTTTTATGGAATCTAAAAATGATTTACCCTCTGTTTTTACATTTAATGATTATGTTGAGTTTACTCACGCGCGAAAGTTAAATTTCTTAAGATCTCATAGTAGATTTTTCATCATTTAATCATTTATTAGATTAGACGCTTATATTGCCAGTTATCGCAAGTCGGTCCCATGAGTTTTGGTCTTAATTGTTTCAATCGAAATGATAGTAAATCACCTTAATGTTCATGACACTAGATAAACTCAACAGAAAAGTTCCGAAAAAGTTTGTATAATCAGTCGAATTGAGTTGTCTCATTACATAAGAAGCAATGCTGTAAAGCAAAACTTAAGACTTGCGGCTTGCTGATTTTTGTTATAGGACGGACTAGTTATGCCTGGCAGTATAGGAAGCAAAGCTGGTGGAGGGCTGAGGTTAACCGCAGAGTACGAATCTTGATAGGAAGTATCTTTGATTTGAAAAGTAGTGGTGACACAACATAAATAAAATGAATAAATATGTTAATAAGCTCTTAACGAGAAGAATATTTTATTTCATATCAAGATCTTGAATAAACGATATGACGTGTACAATAGTTGAATCTGGCAGAGTTGTGTAAAATCAAGGATTATCGTTATCGAGATAATCGTTTGCCTACAATTTGTTTATACAGCACTACAGCAGAAAGGTAACGTTGTTTGCAGTTTCAGTCGGTTTTTTTTTTAATTTCTTAATAGGAAAATGCTTCGCATACATTTTTTTTTAATTTCATTACGTTAGAAATTCCAAGATGCAAACCTTCTTTGATCGGGATCAACTAGTTTTAGTCTCTTTTTAAATAACTTACATATACACTTACTTCAGTAACAACTTTTCTTCTACAACTGCCACCGTCCACGAAACACATCGGTTGATAGTTGTCCGTCCTTCGAAAAGCCAATATAATAATAATTTTTGTCGCCTAGGGGCTGTCCATATAACACGTGGACAGTTTTTGATAGGTTTTAGGGGTAGGGCCTGCGTGGATATTTTTTTTTAATTTGTACTAACCGTGGACATTTGTAAACCCCCTCCCCTTCCAATCTGTTCACGTCTTATATAGACAGCCCCCAAGCTATATTCGGGTGTAAAAAATCATTGCACGCTTTCAGTAAATACCCTTCTTTCTTACGTACCTATACTATTGCTTGCTATTTTCTTTCGTTTCACCGAACTATGAAAAACGTGTGCATGAACTATAGGTTGTAAAATAACCACATACAAAAAAAAACTTTCAGTTGATGTGCAAAACCCCGAGCCGTCTCCGTTAGCGAGCCGAAGAAAGCAGCATGGAAGTACTAATCCACGAACCGGATGATGGAACAGCAGCGAAAGACAGCGAACAATTTCTCAAAGCATCGTCACCAACTTTTTTACTGCCAGCCACTACCACTACTACTCTTACCGGCAGAAACAGCCCATCGTCAGTGTCGGTGGGGTCTATCACGCCAACGAAAGCGAAAGCGGAGTTCATCTGTGACCTAGATTTGCACTCGCCGGTGATCGGTACGAAAGATCGTCCCTATCATCACCATCTGCTGCTGAATCACCATCACCATCATCACTACCACCACCTGCAGCTCCACGGTTCCGGCTCTGCCAACAGCATTAACAAATCTCCCACCGCCAAAAGTAGTATCGAAATGCGGGACAACTACTGCTTCTACCGGTTGCAGCGGTTCGTTTCACGAAATCCGGTGCTCAACTACCTGCTGCCGCTGTGTGCGATAGCGGTGTTAGTGTTCGTGATCTATGCCTTCCGGGATTATGCCAAAAGTTTGCTCTACTGGATCGAGATGCAAAACTCGTGGATCACCTTCTGTATATTTTTGTGCCTGTTCACGATTGTCAGTTTTCCGGTCACGGTCGGCTACCTGGTGCTGATCATCAGCAGTGGCTATCTGTTCGGATTCATCAAGGGCCTGCTGACGGTGATCATCGGAGCTAACCTGGGAGTAGCCATTGCACACAACATCATCAAGGGCATGCAGTCGAAGCTCCCGGTGCATAAGTGAGTATTTGGCTTCCCTTTTATTTATTTTCTTGTTGGTCTAACGCTAAAACCCGGATGCAGGCTGTGTTCCATTTGGTGAATTTTCACTTAAATTTGACAATTCGAAAATAAATTAGGGCAATGAATTTCGGTTGGACCTATCCAAAAAATAAATCATGGTCGGACCTATTTTTACCTGTGCCAATTTAGTCCATATGTTCTAAGAAACTTCTTCTAAATGCTTATAACTATAACGAAAATGTTTTTTTTAATGATTAACATATCGAAGTATTCTTCAAATAATTTCGGTAACTCTAAGATCAGAAGGTCCCGAAAATACGTGCTCAACTTTTTGGCTCAACTCTGGTACTATCTTCCTTGGGACCGAATCACTCCTCAAAACATAGGAAAATCCACGAACCCCTCATTTTATCTGTCAATCTTTCAAAGCGAATCAAAACAAGCATAGTGTAGTACTAGAATTTCGACTAGAATGGGATACGTTAATCGATTTGCTTGGGACCAATAGGCTAGTCAAGTAGTGAGCCAATTTTAAATCGTTAGTTTCCACTGGTTGATATCATCAGGAAGATTGCTATAACTATTTTATGAACATTTAAAGTAGATTTCAATTTGAATTGGTGTTAACTGCTACCCCGAAATCAAATAGTTTGAACTTCTACACCTATAGTCGGTCTTTTATCTACCAGCTTATGCATAAGCTCTTATAAAAACGTCAGATCCAGAAACAAGAAGAAGTGATGAACGGCTTAAGGAACGGGATTATCCTATTCGCACTGTGGTTTTTCTCAAATAAAAAGAAAATTCTCAAAACCCATCCTGAAGACGCTGATGTATCATGCTGCACAAAATGAGCGTTGAAAGATGCTTGGAAAAGGGTCCCTTTTCCATTTAAAACGTTCTACACAACAAAATGTACTCCTGATGCTGTAGCTCATACCTCCCACGCCAACGCCACGAGTTCAAATTTCATCCCCAGACAAGTGACGAACGGCCCAAGAGTGTTAAAGTGACTCTAATAATAATTTTTAAAAAATGTGCCCTCTCATTTCAATATAATGCAGGTCATTAAGCCAGCATTAAGTTGTATTTGAATTCGTTAATAAATTCTAGATGAAATTAAGGTTAATTTTTGGGCAATTCCTGGAGATATTCCAGTGTTGTGTGTCGCCAATCACCAAGACCTCGCAAATATCACGGATTAAAAATAGATCGGTTAAACGAGAGACATCTGTTGTTATTGAGATGTACCGAATTCTAAACGGGATGTATCTATCAAATTTATACCGAAATTAATCCGACGTCGCCGCCACGCGTGGCCAGTGTTCAAAGCGGTCACCCTTGCAGCCGCGCCAAGTTGAAACAGATTTCCAATGCACCGAAAATTGTTCGCCACTAATTTGGAACCGGGCCAACAGTCAGAAAGCGCTGATTGATGCTATGCATACTGATTTTCCGACGGAAATAATGGATATGTCGATTGGAGTCCCTTTCGGGTACAACTGGAGATGTACAAAACTTGTTTGCATTTCTAATTTAAATTGCAATAGGCAACCTGTAAATTCAATTGCTATTCTTGTATTGTCATTGTAAGATATGTTCAAAACGAAATATTACACATCTACTGAAAAGTTGAGCTTCATTGGTCGTAATGCATCCTCTGCGCATCACAACTCTTTAACGGTGGTGAAAACACCCTACTTTCCAATCCACGCTAGAGGAGAAATGTATTTACTGATGGGGCAGTGGAAGATCGTTTAATATGCACTGCTGAGCCGAATTGAATTTAATTTTCCCATGCTCGCCCTGCCTCCGTGGGCTGATCACGGGTACTTGCCTGGCCCGAGCACTCGATACTGAAAAATGAATTACATATACCTACATAAATATAGTATTTATTGACGCAAAATCATCTGCATTGTTGTTGCTGTGCGAACCACGTTCGAATCAACAATTAGCCCCACTGAGCTGTTTGTAGCCGAGGCATGAATTGACCGTGAAAATACATCAAGTTCAATGCGTTCAACTGCCACTGCATTGACGATAGACTCAGACGCTAATGTTCGCTCGTATAGATTGCACTAAGATGGATTAGATAGATAGAGAGAGGTCTCAGTACTTGCTACGGCCTTGTTGTATCGCTTGATATTTATCTTTGTCGAAGTGTGTTGTAAATGACGTATGCTGTGAACATCTGATATCGGTGGTGTAAAGATTGATGTAGAGATATACACAGAAGTTGTCGCTTTATAGGAGCCATGAACTACCTTGAACCTTGATGTGAACCAATCAGACCGGTTTCTCAGCTTACGTTGCACGTTGTCTATCAAAATCAATTTAGGGGATATTAGTGGGACCAGTGATGCCACATTTTTTCGATTTCCAATCTGTATTTTCATCGCAAAAAATCTTTTTATTCTGTATCTGACTGACAAAAATCTGTAAACAAATCTTTATTATGGTATTAGTACAGCTTTACGTAATTCTCATTTGAGTTAATTCATAGTTCAGAAGGCCTTTGTTCAAAGTTTAGAATCTCTAAAAATTACTAATGTTTACTTTCTAAAGAATGCATGGGAATGACACTGATGAAGACTGCACATTGTAGTCGAAATACGTATCTGTCATGGATACCAAAATTAGTTAAGTGGAATTAAATGGACGATAACATTTTTTGCTGTTTTATTTAGCATACCGCTAACAACCCAATTTCATTACTTTATTGTTTAAATGATCAAATATTGTCATTTTAGTGGAGATTTAGTTTCAAAGTAGCTGAAAGGCAATTGAATTGAATTGCATACATTTTACCAAACAGTTTAGATTTCGGTAAAAATTACCGAAGTCGGCGATAATTTCTAAGTGTGTAGAGGAAACCTATTTCAGCCGTCTTGACTGCCGTATCGACAAGACGCTATGGACCGGCCATGGTGTACATATATGAACTCGACTGAAGTGACGCCTTGAAAGAAGCTGTTCTAGATGAAAACACGATCCTCTGTGATTCGGAAGAGACGGACTTAGTTTTGCTAGGTTTGAAGAGATTCATGATTCAGACAATACCTACAGAATTTTTCGAATGATCCCCAACACCGGTGGGTATCCGTTTGTCGTATACAACTTCTTGATTGAATCCTTGTATCATCAGTTTTATGTATCACATTCTCTCACTAGTTTCGTTTGTGAGTAAACTAAGTATCGACCCGAGTAGTAAACCTTAGAAACGATTGGCAAAATGTCAACAAATAGAAAGAGAAACTACCATTTCTTCCAACGAAAAATCAGAAGTCCATTCAAAAGATTCCAAGTCCATTCGAAACTAATAGCGAATTCGTTTATTATCGGGGTTAACACCAGTTCCAACCCAGTGCGAAACCGAACTTTTTGTCAGTGTGAACCTCAACCTGAGCTAGGTTTTAAAAACAAACGAGCAAACTTACGTTTGTCAGAAAACAAGCAGACCCAATCTTGATACCCGATCCAGGTTGGAACTGAATAATAAACAAATTCGCTATAAAACAATAATAATTTATTTAGTGAAGAAGATGATTTGAATTCAAGCTGTTCAAAAGAAAGAAAAGATTATTTAGTTGAAGATGCTATTTTGAATAACAGACTGAAGTGGAGATTTTTATACGATAGATGAGGAGGAGATGAAAGTATAGAATTGATAGTTCCGTTTAGATTACGGCAGTGTGAAAATTGCACACAGCAAAAAAATAATTTTGATATCACATCAAAGTGGATGCACTACAATCATGTCGAAAATTTCATGTAATTTTTATGACCACATAAATAAACAAATGCAGTAAAAGCAGCGTAATGTCAGTTCATGCATTGTATTAATGATAATTTTGTCCTTTTTAGCAAGTAATATTACACCATATTTTCGACATGATTGTAGTGCATCCACTTTGACGTGATATCAAAATTATTTTTTTGCTGTGCATATAGAAAGTAGATAGCGAGCTATTTATTAAATAATGTCTGATGAGCGGCCGTTGAGAGATCATAGATATGTTCATTGTATATTTCATATGGATGCCGAATAATTACCGCAAACCAGCTTGCTCAAGAGCAATAAACTATTGAAAATTGAAAAGTTGCAATAGAAATCTATAAGTTTCATTGTCATTGTTCCAATAAAAAAATCTAAATGCGCAATAAAAAATATAAAAATCTTTCTAGCCTTTTAGATTAAATTAAAACTGAACAAGAACAGAATTTTCGCTTCTTATGACGCAATAACCGGAAGCGTGGTTTAGCAAAAGGAAAAAAAGGGTAAATGATGGCTTCGGCACACATTGAATGTTTTCGGCATCCAACACTTGAGCTTTAATTTAGCTGTATTTTCTCACCAAAACGCTTCGCTGAATGTATTTCAACGATTCCTTAGGCTTTCAGCTTCAATCTGATTACATTATTACGACTGAGTAACCTTGTTCAAATGAAACATGGAAATGTTTCAAATGGAAAGGTTGTCGAAGAAAAAGAGACTGCCGATAATAATCACAACCACCTGAAAAGTTTGGAGCGTTGTAAAAACCAAAGTAGCTACATATAGGGGAATTTACGTATTTTCGGCAACCTAAGCAGCGACCTTCTTTCTATAGCCTTTTTCTCTATGGAACGCACACATATGCAGGTTTGGTTTGTTTACAATGTTTTGCTGCCAGCTGCTCTAACAGTTTCAGTCGAAAGAATTGTCAAACACTGTTTTGAAACGCTTTTACAAAGCTCCAATCTTCTCTAGTGAGAGCGAGTATTGTCGGCAACCAGTTTTTCTTCGGCAACCGTTCCATTTGAACTGCATGTAAATCTGCTGTTCTATTATCGGCAACTCGAAATCAGCTACAATTTGTAGTGCGTGTGTTTCATTTCAAGAAAACCCTGCTAGATTGCTTTTTCTCAGTGGTAAAAATATAGTCAAATTGAAGCTGAAAGCATAAAGAATCGTTTGCATGCATTCAGCGAAGTGTTTTCGTAAGAAAATCCAG